TACGCTGCAGCACTGACTCAAGGTGGTTGAAAACTTATTTTTTCTCCATGAATCCCTGAAGCCTACCAAAGGCGGCGCGTATCTCGAGCTCGAGCCTCGATCATATACGTGCCATGTTATTCAAATAGGTAAAGGTATGTTGTTTCAAATATTGTAATGGGTCTTCGGAGGGCAAGTCGTACTACACCACAAGTGTCTGCCAGGCCCTCACCAAGAGGCGGTCCTTGAGGGCCTTGAGGCAGGCGTCACGGGCCCTCTGCGCGTCGGCGGAGGAGACGCTGCGGATGTCGGGCACGTGCTGGAGGAAGGGCGTCAGGTAGTCCACCTGCCCGTTTGTTGTCACAGCAAAACGACATAAACGAGGAGTGGACGTGGGGCCGGGGGACCAGAGCAAGGGGAGGGGGGGGGGGGTGGTTACTCATAATCGTGCATGCCGTAATCGTTAGACCATTGATCTCGCATCCCTACAAAGCCGGGACGGAGCACGCCGGGTTATCACCGGACCAGGCTCTCATGTCACCAAGCGCGAAGCGCCGTGAGGTATTCGGCGAGTCGCATGAAGGGTGTGCTGCATCCTGCTAAGGGTGTTCGGCATCTTGTGTGCTTACTTCCTTGCGTACGGATGACAGCTACGTATGACTTAATTTATTTTCTGGTGCTTTCACTTCCAGAGACAGTTGTAAGCACTGTGTAACTGCCTCGAGGAAGCTTGACCATTTTAACACAACGTGGTGCGATCATCCCCCGTTGCGCGGAGTGAGGTTTCTCGACCCCGCACAACATGATCTACTCGACCACCATTATGGTTACCGCCAAAAAAAAAAAACCGAGGTAAAAAAAAAAAAAACGGTAACCTGGTTGCCGAGTTCACGAAGTGAATTGGCTTCTTTTACAACGTCGTTGCCAAACGACGAAAACCCAATCCCGATGGCAAACACCGAGTGGGGGGCTTGTTTTACAACGTCGTTGCCAAGCGACGAAAACCCAAACCCCGATGGCAAACACCGGGGGGGGCGGCTTGTTTTACAACGTCGTTGCCAAGCGACGAAAACCCAACCCCGATGGCAAACATCGGGGGGGCGAACGAGGGGGGAGCGAGAAAATACCTACTCAGAACATGGATTAATGGGAAGAGTTGGCCGCTTCACCCATCCAGAGAACGATTTTTGCAAGGGTGCACGTACCACAGGCGGTGCACTCCTAGGATTGGTTTTCCCTACTGTAAAGACCGGCATGGTATTTTATTTTTTTCCGAAAAGCCTAGAACAGGTTTTAGGTCTACAAATCGAGAGATACGTGGTTACGAGCTTGTTCCGAATGGACTGCAACCGTGGTTGTCGGAGCATTTTCGGAAGAGTTCCTCCGCGGCAAGCTAGTTCAACTTCTAAGAAGGAAGGGCGTGAAGCAAGACTCTATTGTGAAACCCATCGTGAAGAGAGGAGGGAGGTTTAGACTGTACAGGATCGGTAAGAGCGAAATAGGTTGTGATCAAAAACAGTAATATGTGGTTCGTCAGTCATCGAGCAGAAAGTGACACAGTATTTTCCTGCAAGCTGCCGCCTGAGAAGACAAGTAGTGTGGATGGTTTCAAGTACACCGGGCATCGGCTCAGCGTAAAACCAACGCGTCGATTTGCTGGATCTAGAAACCACAAGAAAAATATGTCGGGCGTGTCCTTGGGACTACGGCAATAAAACCACGAACGTTTCTCCACGTCCTAACCCTTACCCTCCCCGCCATTACCCAACCCGACCTCATTTTGTCCGAAGATGAGCGCAACAAGTCTACCCCTTGGCGACCGCCGGGCAGCCCCGGCTCGGCCAACGTGGTAGGCACCGCGGTAGCGGCGACGGCGGCGGCGGCCGCGGCGATGGCAAGGTCGGCGAGGCCGACAATGAACCCTCACCGGAACAGAATCAGCCGTAACAAGGGTGGTCCGACAAGGCAAGGCTCGGTGGATAGGAGGGGTCCCCCCCGTGACGACGATTTTTCCCACGCGGGAGGAGGTTGGGGAGACGGGCGGGTGGGGGGCGGGGAAGGAGGGTCACCGGTGTCCGTGGGAGGGGCTTACTACGAGGAGAGGTTGGTCGGGCGAAGGTGAGAGCCAACTAATTGTTTGCTAAGTATGTTGTTGTTGTTGTGAATGAATGTTGTTGTTGTTGTTGTTGTTGACACTGTTGCTGGTGTTGATGGTGTCATTGGGAGGGGCGCCCTCAGCGTGAAAGTAGTTCCGCTCCATCTGATGCTCCACAGCTTTGGAAGTTCCTGGTGTTGCTGGTGCTATTGGGAGGGTAGCCCTCATCTGATACTTAACAGCTTTGGAGGCCTATTTCGTTCAGCGTTCGGGCACCTCTATTATTAGCATAAGCCACCACCACTGATATTCTCCGAGCAACACTCAAGCACCCTCCTTCGATTTCGACAGTAGATGTTCATTCTCCCAAAACCGTATACGGGGGAGACTGTAGATGGCCCCGCCAGCCCCACCACCAGGTGTGCAAGCCCCCCCATGCACCAGGTTTAGTGCCAGTAGCGGGCTACTCTTGCGCTACTGCATGAACACGTTCCGCGTGGCTGTTACAGGTTGCTACACCTCAACCCTACGCCCGGTGTTCTCGATCTCCCCAACGGTTATTACTTTCCAGGCCGCACTTCGTCCGGCCTTTTCAACAGCCCCCACTCACACAACGTAGGCTGCATAAGATACCACACCTCCTGGGTGGACCGCCAACGCTTGATTACTCTGCAACGCAACGGTAATGCCAATTAACGCGGCGGCGTTGGAACCATCTCACCAAAGAGTTCCCCGATAACGTGTCATCGGACTTTGTAGAGTCCTCTTTTGGGTGGAAGAGTCGATCCGTGATGAGTCGATCTAGGGCGTGTGGAATCTTACGCGACCTACGGCAAAGGTCTCGGTGACCCTTGATGTCGCCGCTGCTGTTTTGACGCGCTTGTTTGCCACCCTGCCCCTTCCCGATGGAAAAATTTACCAGGCGTGGCGAGGGAGCGGAGGGCTTCGAGGAGCAGTCGTCGCCACCGGCCACCTCCCGCCGAGCGTTCCCTGCAACCGGTCCGTCGCGCCCCTTTCCGAGACAGCAGAACCAACAGCAGCAGCCGCCGCAGCAGCAACAACAGCAGCAACAGCCAACGTACCTGGCACCGACGGCGAGCTCTCGTCACAAGCGGAGGCCAACCAACGCGGCCAACGCTGAGGTGATCAAAAAAACAAATCTCGCTTCGGCCATCAGCGAACGTCGATTGGCATCATTTCTGTTGAGCGTTTCCGCTTGTTCTCCTTGGTTCTTGTGCCTGCCATGAACTGGAATCTTGGGGCGATCGCACAAAGCTCGAGCGCTCTGTAGCAACGAGCACACCTAACAGACGCGCCTTGAAAACACACACAATGGAGAGAGGGTGTGATCGGCAGCTTTTCTTGATATTTTATCTGCTTCGCCGCCATCCAGTTACCCTTTCCGGGTCCAACATCATCCCTGCCCGCCACCTACACTTGCACTCGCCTTTCGCACCTGTTCGTCCTCACAATGTACCCCCCCCCTCCCCCCCCTCTCCCCCCCAAACAGGCTCGCCCAACCCCTCGACAGGCTTCACCGCCGAAACGTCACGGCAGAAACTCGACCCGGGCTTCCTCGGGCAAAGGGATCCAAAACCGTACACCACCGACGGCACAACCACGACCGGTCTTCCGGCCTTCGGGAATAGCGATGTCACCCCCGCGCCCGCCGTCGCCGCCGTCGCCACGGACGCGAAAGCAGTCCCTCGAGCGACGGGAGTCTTCCCAATCCCCTCTACCTCCTCCACCTGGTCGGCAGTACTCGCGATCGCCACAGCGACAGCCGCAGCCGCGTCCCATCCAGTCGACCGGCCATCGCGGCGGCGCTCGGTCTGCCTCGCCTCCGAAAACAACCCGGGTCGACCGCGGGGTTCGGTCCCCACCACCCTCATCCCGTCGAGTGCCAAACGAGCAGCTGCGGCGGCACGTCTCCCCCCCTCCCCGGCTGCAACCGCAGCATCAGCAGCATAAGCTGCTGCAGGAGCAACAGCAGTACCGGTACCACCCAAGAGAGTCTCGACGGGCATCGGCGCAGGCTGGGATCCAAGATCCATTTGACGGAGGTGGCGGTCACGGCGGTGGCGGCGGTCGGAGTGAAGCCGGCGGCCACGAACGAGCGGGGCGGCAGCAGCACAACGACAGAGGCGGAGACCGAGGGCGACGGGGGATGGGAAGGGTGTTGTACCCGTATGGAGCTGTGTACAGCAGAAGCTTCGACACGGGCGAATTTTTCTACGGGGTCGGCAGCAAGACGCCCGTCTCTTCCCCTGCACAATCCCCGCACCGATGGGAACACGGCGGCGGTGGCGGTGGCGCCGGCAGTGGCCCTGTCAGCCGGTGGGACAGGGGTTTTGCGGACTCTTTCCCCCGTTCCTCGGCTGATTCTCTGCTCAGTAGTGGCGGTGGCGGCGGCGGCGGCGGCGGCGGCGGCGGTGGTGGTGGTGGTAGGTGGGAGCGTAAAGGGTCATCATCATCGGCACTACCGGAAAGCCTCGAGAGTTTCCACTTCCGTGGATCTGGATCGCATGCCGACAACTACGACACCGCGGCCATGAGGGAGGGGGCTGCGGCCGTTCAAGCGTTCGGAAGGGAAGGACTACGGGCGAGCGCGAACCCCACCCCGCGCTACCATCAACAACGAAGAGGCAGCAGCGGCCGGGCCGGCATCGTTGCGGGGAGCGACGTCACCGGCGGCGCAAGACCAAGAGGCCAAATTGCGAGCCTCGGCGGCTACGGTGGTAGTGGTGGTGGTGGTGGTGGTGGTGGTGGTGGTGGTGGTGGTGGGCACCGCCGTAGAAGTGGGCGTGGTGATTGAGCCGAATTCACGGGGGGGGGGCGCCGGAGAGGGGAAGCTCTCGAAAAGCGCCGTTGATGTGCTTGTAGTCAGAGAAATAGAGAGAGCGAGTGCATAAAGTGAACGGGCACTGAAGAGGGAATGATGGTCGCTGTGAGCCATGTTTCGGACCCAGGCCCCCATTGCTACGAAGTGGACCCGTTCGGTGGTGCCATGGTTTGACGCCGCCAAAACGAAAGGACAGCAGCGTTGTAACCATATGAACACGTGTCGACGAGGTTTTCAACGTCTCAAAAAATTGTTTTGGCAAATAGTCAAGAAAGCCAAAGGTTTCGCGAGCGCGCTCGGGCGCGTCGTCCTCCTACCACGGACATGAATCCTGCGTACGGATGTTGTTGGCTCACAAAAGGATATGCTGTTGCACGTGCATGTTAGAGGGGCGGTTCTCAAGCCTTACAAGTGCAGTAGTCAATACTTCCAGTGGTGGCTGTCCGCGACCCAGCGGCTTCTTCTCCTTGAGGCATCGCCTTCTTCTCTGTACCGTATTTCGCCTCCTCCCTAGAGCTTGTCTTTCTTTTTGATCACGAACAGAAGTTGGTTCTTACTACAGGTTTGGCCTTTTCGGGCCAAAGTTGCACGTGCTCCTCTCGCCCGGGAAGCTCAGGATGTTCTTCGAACGGCTGTCGGTACACGACAAGACGTCGTATTGTTGTTGCCAAGCGGGAGATTTTATAACAACAGCCCGGGGGTAGCCCCGGCCTCGTCTGAAGCCCTGTGCCCTTTTTTCCCAAAGAGGCGGTCTGGGTGGCGCATGCTGCGAGTTGACAGACGTTCTGAAGATGAACTTGGTTGAGGTTGGATACAAGGGTTCATAAAACGAAAAAGTAGGGTTCGAACCCCCGACGACGTTACCCACACCCGAAGTTCGCGCATGCTCTAACCGCAACTTTGTTGGAAACGATTTGGGTGGGAAACATAGTGCCACGCGTAAGACTTTCTCCTACACACAATAGAGGAACAACAGAGGAAAAGGCCACCTCTTTACGCCTCTGCGTACCCAGCCCATTGGCGAATGAACAGATGAAACAGGACGAAGGTGTAATACCCCGACGACCAGGTGGTTCAAGAGACGGAGATTGGGCGGCATGGAGGAGAGGGGCGCGGGCCGATTGGTCGGCTTTGACCTACAATTTTCCCCCGCCTGCCTGACCTGTTTCGAGCTTTCTTGCTTCGGGCTTCGACTTTCGTTCTTGTTTTCCATCGATTGAGACAATACCCACGCCCGCCGTATATATACACGCACGTACAGGCTGCCCGATCGATAACGGCTTCTTCATTGATTCGCCCATCGATACACGAAGCTACCGCTTGCCAAGGATGTTGTCCGCTTTCGACAATAAACATATACAGACGCCGCCTATCCATCCGTGCCAGCTGGATTCGGCAGGCGCCCCTCGCTCTTCGCACAACGATTATCGTGCCAACCACACACAATATCCACGAACAAACAACGTCATTCAACCCTTTCTCGCTCTCGCCGCATCACACAACCACACCAACAAACAAGCACACGCACCTTCATCCTTCATCGCCTCCAAGGAAACGCAACACCGTAGGGGTTGTCTCATGGGGGGAAGCAAAAGACAGGAGCCATATCGACAACGCCGTTCATAGCGGGGAAAACAAAAGAAAGAGAAAGAGAGCAGAACCAAGCAGACAAATATGAGGAGGCCATCTAGGCCCACGTTTTACTCAAACCAGCCCAACAATGTTGGCGGTAGTTAGTGCGCATTGCCTCTCCTCTCTCTCTCACTCTCTCTCTCTCTCTCTCTTTATGGCATTAATGAGAGACGTGGCTACCATTGCTTGGAAAAAAATCAAGACTCGCTTCTACGCTCTGCAGGTACCTACTCTTTTTTTTTTGAGGACTTCAAGCTGGCGCTGTAGTTACCACGAACGAGATAGGCTTGGAACAACATCAAGACTTGCTTCTACGGTCTACTCTTTATTTGAGGACAAGCGGGCGTAGAATTCTCCCCCAACAAACTGCGGCACGAACTAGAGAGGCTTGGAACAACGTCAGAATACTTGCTTCTATCTATGTTCTACTCCTTCTTTGAGGACTTCAAGCGGGCGTCGAAGTCATCGAGCAGGTCGTCGTCCTGGTTGATGCCCTGGTCCGCCAGGGTCTTGGCCGTCGTGTACTCCACGTCCTCGGGCTTGATGACCCTGAAAAGTCGGTGAAACAGAAATCACAAGTTTTAATGACCCCATATTCTCGGTGATGAGCACGAAGGTGAAGCATTGTGAGCACCCATAAAGTCGGTGAAACGATGAACACAACAATACGATGATTTAGCTACCCCACCTTCTCGGTGGTGAGAGCCTCTGAAAACACAAATATAGGTGGGCATTGTGCGCCAAGCAAAACTTGGTTCTAGGACTTGGTTGAGTTCTCAAAACCATTACCAGGACTTCTGTGTGCTCTCTCTGTCTTGATCACCGTCTTGCCAAGAAAGACAAGTTTTGACCAGCATCGTTAACCGTGAAAGAAAAAACGCACACCGAGACAAAAGACAAATGCTTGTTCGCCCAGGTTTCTTGTGACCCCAATGATGACAAAAAATCGCGCACAACAATACGCACCCCTGGGGAGCCCAGATGACTATTATAGAAAGCGTGCTCGCATTTTATATCCCGTTCGCTGTACAATAAGACTGCCGTCTTTTCGTTGGTCAGCCCGTCAGCGCGGTCGATACTACAAAAAATAAACACATACACTTGTTATTGCTACGGTATCTGTCTTGAATCAAGAGATTTGCGTAGACTCCCCCATGACGCTCAGTCGGTCCCAGATTGTGGCTTTTAGAAGCATTTTGTGTTTTCAACCACACTGAGGCGGGCGTATTTTCAAGGGTCAGCCGGTTAGTGTGGTCGACACTAATACCAAAACACACACATACACAAAATCGTTTATCTTTGCAGCCGAACTGAGACTGACGTCTTTGAGTGGTCTTTGAGTGGTCTTTGAGTGGTCTTTGAGTGGTCTTTGAGTGGTCTTTGAGTGGTCACCAGCCGGTTGCCACGGTCGGTGCCAACAAATAAACACACACACCACACCTCACTCAGCAACGTCTAGTAGAAACACCGAAGATTAATTTGTTTTCTCTCTCTCTCTCTCTCTCTCTCTCTCTCTCTCTCTCTCTCTCTCTCTCTCTCTCTCTCGTCTCACTTCATGTCGGTGGTCATCGTCTTGGCGGCCTTTAGCTTGCGCGAAACCACGGCGCCCCCGCTCCTGCCGGCCTCCGCCCACTTCCTCCTCAGGAAATTCCGGCCCTCTATCTTGGCGTTCTCCCTCTTGTTGAGCACAAACCGCACCGCCGGGATCACGTTCAGCGCCACCGCGTACGTGAGCAGGAACGGCAGGGCCCCCTGTTTGTTTTTTAAATGGAACGCGCCACGGGCTTCCGGGATAAGCACGTACCAATACTTAATTCATGGCCGCTGTTGATGAACACGACGTCGGTTTCCGAGACAAGTACGTAACAGTGGGGGGAGGGGTTCTGTGGTGCCGGTATGCGCCCGGCGAATCGACCAGCGCTATTCAGAGGAACCGACACTATCACGGCCACACAACAGCAGCAGCAGCAGCAGCAGCAGCAAAAACAATCACTACCTCAACAACAAACCACCACCACCACCACCACCACCACCACCAGCTAAATAGAGCAGCTGCAACAGCAGCAAAACCAGCAACAGCAACAGCAACAGCAACAAACTTGCCTGCACGAAGCCGTAGTACCCCGGCAAAGTCACCCCGGCGAAGGCCGGTCCGGACAGCAGCTGCCGGAGGTACAACGCTCCCCCGAGGTTCACGGCGCCGAGAACACCCGCCGCGAACTTCTTCCACCCCGCCGCCACGCTGAACGGCTTCGTCTCTTCCTGATGGCAAGATGGCAAGGTGGAGAGGGGAGAAGGCTCGGCAACAAGAGTAAGCACGGCTGCTTCTGTTGATTGAATGTGTTGGAATAAAGCAGTGGCACAGATCTCTAGCAGCCCCGAGCCCCGACCCGTGGAAATTAGGTCATGGCAAGTGTCTACATAGGTCTTCCGACAATAGGGGGCTCCGTAGTATGGTATGCTATAGGGTGTACATTTGTTGTTTTGGATGGCACACGGGATCCTGTATTTGGGGCTCTCGTTTGCCTCTCTCTCTTGCGGAAATTAAAGGACTCTTATTTGTCATCACGTGAAGCCTTACACCATCACCCCGTGTCAGAGTCCCGACGAGTATGGACCAATTGCAAATCCTGGCGATTCCACATAGACCCCTCGGTCCGGCCAAAACACCACCCACCATGAGGGGCTCTGGGATAACAACCCCCCGGCCGCCCCCAGATGACGATGACGAACCCCGGCTCGTGCGGGGCTCCAGGACGATGTTCCCGTTGTCCAGCTTGGCGATGCCGGCCTGTCAAGAGGCACGCGAGAAAGCCACCTCAAGAGTAGGACTCGTGTACAGTAGTAGTGATGCTTTTCGACTGTTGGACGAGTCCTCCTTGGGCTTTTTTGCTTCATTTCCCTCTCAAATGGGCACATACATGCGAATTGCACGGCAGGAACCGAAGCCCCCGAAGCCACCAAACGCCTTACGAATGGGAGGGGATTAGAGTGGGCAACGTGGGAAAAAAAAAGAAGAAGGCGACCGCACGACAAACAACTTGACGTCATGACTCTCACCGCCATGGCCGCATCGATCAGCTCCGACCGCTCAAACATGGACATAGCCCGCACTCCCACCGCCTCCAGAGCAACCCGGAGGTCGGCAGTGGACAGCGACTATTAGGGGAAGAGAATGTTGTAGGGATATAAGCGAAGGGCGGGGGTAGGGGTAAGAAAAAGAAGAGTTTGCCGTCGACAGAGACTACAATAGCGATAGAAGAGTATTTCAGGGGCACAAGGGATGCGGGCGCGGGTGGAGGCAAAGGGGGGCGAGAGTGAAAAAAGGAGAAGGAGGGATTTTGTTTGTGAGATGCGTAGTGCCCTCGGTCTCAAGGAAGTTATAACCGCTCCTTCCCAGCAGGAGGAATATCGATAGTCGTTTTCGCTCCTCGTTTCGTCTTTGTAAAAAGGCAAAAAGACAAAACGAAAGATAAAAAGGCAAGAGACAAACATCATATAGATGAGAAAGAGAAACAAAAAAAAGGAATACTAACACGAGAACAACAAAATACCGTCCAGCGAGGAGCAATTCGAACTACATCTGAGGTCCAGCGTTTCATGCCGAACTGAACAACAACAACAACAACAACAACAACAACAACAACAACAGTCCCAGCAACAGCGACAGCACAAACAAACAGGTCTCAGCAACACCCAAACTACAGTCCAGACACGCTGCTGAGCAGGCGACCCCGCCGCCAACAAGGAGCTCGTCCGTCACCTAGGCCTCACCTTCAGGCCGGCCAGTCTCGCGCTCTCCTTGCTCCCGATCTGAGTCGCGGCCGTGCCGGTGCCCATTGCCGACGTTTGCAGGGAGGGGAAGACGTAGACGATGTCCCCGTCCGCCGTAACCTGGACGTGAAAGCAACGCCGCACATGCTTACGAAATACATAGGTCTACCACGATATCTTGGGAGGTATTGACCTTGTAACAAGCACGACAACAACATGTGTCACGAGTACCCACCCCACCCCCCCAACCTTCTTGGTGGATGGTCAAACAGCTACAATAAGGCATGCAAAACGTGAGCACGCCCCCCCCCCTCCCCCATCTTCCTCTCTCACCTCCGGGGCCCCGTCTAACGCGGTCAGTATCGGCAGCACGAAAGACTCGTCCACGACGCTGCTGTCCGACGAACGAAGGGCCTCCGGGGTAAGGAGGGGCGCCAGCTGCTCGGCGGACACCGCTCCCCCGTTGCCACGGATGAGCTACAATCGTACACACACACGCACAGACGTCAGCGGTAGCGGTAGCGGTAGCGGTGGTGGTGGTGATTGATGGTGGTGATTTGAAACCGAACCGAGGTTGGTTGCGTCTTTTTGTTTTTTCCGGAACAAAACGAGAAGCAGAAGAGAACAACAAAGGCAGCAGCAGCAGCAGCAGTAGCAGTAGCAGTAGCAGCAGTAGCAGCAGCAGCAGCAGAGTCAGCAGCAGCAGCAACAACAACCACTAACCGCCACAACGACAACTACGTGCACGAAAACAACTACCCTCACATTTGGCACTCACATATCCCCCCCCCCCCCCCCCCCCATTGG